TGTGTGCAGGATTCAGGCGTTTCATTGTCCTAAATGGAAACTTGTTCTACAGACAGTCGAGAAATGATCCACAAAGAGCAGAAAGAACTCCACATCCAAAATACACCAAATATACAAAATCATGACACGTAATCCTGCAGTAAAAAAATCACTACTGTGTGTAAAAGCCACTAAAACGGTGCGGCGATGGCTCCAATGGCACATAAAAGGATTTAAAGAGGTTTTTGGTGCTGTTACTCATGCGGTGGAATCCACAGCAGCTCGGGCCTGTTGCTCGTAAACAGTATTTAGTTTGGTTCCAACATTTCCACCGATGAAGGAAAATATTCAAACTGATTCAACGAAAGTTAAAAATGTCATTTCTCTTGTATCAGAAAAAGCACAGGCGTCGTGGCTCCTCCTGACCTCTGCTTCCACATCAGCGACGGCCCAAAGTGTTCCTGTTGTTCCCTCCAGCATCTGAGCGCGTGATGTTGGACTGCAGATTCTCTGAAGTCAGAGGACTAATGATGGCCGAGTCCTCTGTGAGTTTTAGGATGTGCGTGTTCGCATGCTTGGACAGTTTGAACTTGTTATTTTACAGCTGAAATAAAGGTTTGCTTGTGGTTTCCATCAGCGCACACAGCACAGCTCTGCCTGAGCCTGACTCTGGACTTGATATTTGCTGTTCATGGGCATCGCTTTGGTTATCTGTCAGGTGTGTGCTGACCTTCTGACTGCTTCAGGGATCAATAAATAAAACCAATAACATCTGGACTGCAGGTAGACAGTCGCTGTGTTTATCTGCGGCACTTTTCCTTTGAGTGTCTCCTGCACGTCGCTGCTCTGACCTCAGAGTGACGTGTCACCTCGCCACAGATGGTAATGATTAACTGTCAGAATGTGGACCTGCAGAGTCGTGTCAGTGTCAGACGACACCAGCAGCACACGCCCAACAACAGGCTCCTCCTCCTCTCACCTGGGAGATAACCACCCATTTCTTCTAACAGAAAAACAACAGTCAGCAGGATTTTATTTTGAAAGGGCCGCTATCAGACAGCAGGTTTAGAGAAGACCTGACACGAGGAAATCAGGTTTCCTGTTTCAGAAGTAGTGATGGGATTTCCATCTCTTTTTAGAGAACCGGCTCTTCTGGTTGTTTTGTTGCTTTAATTAATTTATTGCCAACAACAATATAAAATTATGCACAAAAGGAATTACTAATGTAAAAAAAACGTGGTTTATATATGTTTATATATAAATATATGCGGTGGCCCCT